TGTTATAAGGTATACTAGAGGCTCCGGGCCCAAAAAATTTTGCACTGCGGGGGGGGGGGGTACCTCAGCCCGGCCTCTGCCCTCTCACAGTCTGGGACCCCTCAGGGAATGTCCACCTGCTGGCTTAGGATCACTCCCCTGGGGATTGGGACTAAGCTGGCAGTCAGACATCCCTCTGGCAGCCCCGGAGCCCTCGGGGGATGTCCACTTGCCAGCGGGGAGCAGGCCTAAGCTTCAGTCGGACATCCTTAGCGCTGCTGAGCAGGTGGAGAGGCTCCCACCACCACCACTGTACTGGCAGCCGTCAGCCTGGCTTGTGGCTGAGCAGAGCTACCCCTGTGGGAACCCACAGACCACCAGGGGGAATCTCCTGCAATGAGCATCTGCCCCCTGGTGGTCAGTGTGTGTCATAGTGACCAGTCATTCTGCTGTTAGGGTCAATTTGCATATTACCCTTTTATTATATAGGATATCCTTGGAAGAAAAGCTATACAGATTTAAGATAGTTACTATAAAGTGGCATTTAAATTGCAACCATTATTTGAACTGAGACATATTTCAAAGTCTGAAATCCTTCAACTTCCTGAAAGTGTTAAGTAAGATAAAATCAGATCTTTGGTGGTGGGGTTGGGCAGAGAAGAAAAAGGAGAGGATGTCTGTTCAGCTGTAATTATAGGCATGGACCATGGTGTTATTTTTGCTTTTTATTTTTTTAGCTTTTGCTGGAAAGGAATGTGCAGAAAGAAGCTTCTGTTTATTTTTTTATTTTCACTTTTGTAACTTCTGTGGCCCAGCAAAAAGAAATACACTAATGTTTTGGAAATGTTTTGCCTTAAGGGAGGGGAACTTAGAAATTTTATCAGCACTAAGTATACTAGTACAAATTCTTGATGCTATTGCTAAGGTTTATGAAAGATGAACACAAAGAAAAAGGCAAATTTCAAAGTTAAGCTCTGTTCTTTAACAGCTTGATGTGGTGATTCTGGGTCATTTACAGAACATTTCACACTCCTTTTTTCAAGCATTTGACTTTCATTTGTGGGCAGTGTTACAAATTTGAATCGGATATCTGCCACTGAACTAGCATGTGCTATGACCTTAATGCAAATCACCTTTTCTTCTCTCCATTCTGTTTTCCTCTGCAAAATGAGGGTAATAGTTTATTCCTCGTTGGGCTGCTGCAGGATTCCATGTGTTGGATGTCAGGCACAGCATGTTTGACAAATGCCCACTATTGTTGCTATTAAAGGTCATTGAGATTTAAAAAAAAGAAGACAGCCTGGTCGGTGTTCAGTGGTTAGAGCACCAACCTGTGGACCAAAGGGTCTCAGGTTCAATTCCCGGTCAAGGGCATGTACTTACCTGGGTTGCAAGTTTGATCTCCAGCCCTGGTCAGGGTGCATGTGGGAAGCAACCAATCGATGTGTCTCTCTCACATCACTGCTTCTCTCTCTCTCTCCTTCCTCTTTCTCTAAATTTAATAAAAGCATATCCTCGAGTGAGGGTTTAAAAAAAGAAAGAAAGGTAAGCTCCTGTTGTCAGAATAATCCACTTAGTGGACCACTTCCCATCTAAGCAGCTGAATAAATGGTTACCATAATTCCTGGGATGGCTCTATGTAGGGAGAGGACATGAGTATATTAAGACTGCCCCATCCTCTAAGGCAGTGGTTCTCAACCTCCCTAATGCCGCGACCCTTTAATACAGTTCCTCATGTTGTGGTGACCCCCAACCATAAAATTATTTTCGTTGCTACTTCATAACTGTAACTTTGCTACTGTTATAAATCGTAATGTAAATATCTGATATGCAGGATGTATTTTCATTGTTACAAATTGAACATAATTAAAGCATAGTGGTTAATCACAAAAACAATATGTAATTATATATGTGTTTTCTGATGGTCTTAGGTGACCCCTGTGAAAGGGTCGTTCGACCCCCAAAGGGGTCTCGACCCACAGGTTGAGAACCGCTGCTCTAAGGATTTACATCAATCATAGGAATTGTAGGAATCCCACTGCTCTGCCTACCAGACACACTCAGGACAGTTGCCCTTTCTTTTTACTACTTAAGTGTTTTGTTTGGGCTTTAAAATCCTAAGTCCTGAACTTCCCTAATTTTTCCCCAAATAGCATCATTCCTCCTTACATATCCAGCATTTGATTACGGGAGGGGGTCTATTCATCAGATTTATTGAGTTGCCAGGCATTATCCTAGGCTTTCAGGAGTCAAAGGCTGTGTCCTCAGAGGGGACACCAACAACAAAGAAGGAGCAGGTGGTAGGGCTAGAAAAGAGTTCAGGCCCAAGAACTGGGAACACATGAGGAATTGAGGGTAAGGGGTGGGGCCATCATAAGGGTTCAGACAGGAATCACTAAGGACTTACATTCTGGGCAGACAAGGAGGCTCTCTACGAGAGGACAGCAGAGAAAAGCATTTCTTTGCCAAGTACATGGGGTGTTTATTGATTAGGACAGTATGACTTAGCCCTTTGAGGGCAGGGACTGTCCTCATCAACTGATGGAGTAGTAGGACTGATCGCTTCCTATCAGTCAAGAGGCCTATAGAAAACTGGGTTTTCAGCAAGTGCTGTGGATGGAAATGAAGGTGCCCCCCTTTTTGTCCCTGTTTGTTTATAAGCGTTGTTGGTAGGCATTCCTCCTCAGTGAGGAGAAACTTCTCTGTGCTGGCTTCTTCCAAACTAATATGAATATTCAAGGCTTTAATGACTTGCTGCCTTTTATTAGGGATCTTTACCATTTCTATAGCATGCAGATATTACAAATAGACAGCATTAAGAGATACTTTGACTTCATATAAGAAGGTTTTTAAGAATGTTTAGTTGTATGCTTTGATACAAGGATGTGTTTCTAAGCCTTAAATTGGAGTAAGTTCCCAATCTTTGCAAGCCACCTAGTGTCTGTTAGATGTAAAGGATATTTCATCTAAGAGAGAGGACCATTTTAATCAGCTGTTCCTTTTATGGAGTTTTAGATTTAGCCCTGGGTATTTTTCTGTTGTTGTTAGTTCCTTTGTCGTTAATCTATTCACTAAAACTAGACAGTTTTCATTTTGGCTAAACAGATAATGAACCCTGTTCACTGTTATCTTTACTTTGTTTTCGTGTTAAAATTATGATAACATTACCACTTTTTGATTTTGAATATTTGTACATTTTCCTTTTATTTTATTTATTGAACTTTGTGGTTACAAAATAGTCCTAGTGTAGGACTGCTAAAGTTGATAAATTTTCAAGTTGGCTGAAAAAGAGTGTCTGACATGTTCAGGCTCAGAGCAATTCTTCACAGAGAATACAGCCTAATCAAAACAAAAATTATTTGCACTAGCTATTTGTTTAAAAGGATTCTTTTAGTTGATTTGAAGCAGAGCTCACAAGTGCAATAAAGTAGTAGCCACTGTGATATGTAGTATAAAAGTTACAGTTCCCTTAACTAAAACTTAAAAAATAAAAATAACTGGAAATAAAAGTAAAACAATAGTAGTCGTCACAAATATGAATTTGATTTGTAAACTGCCATCACAGAGTAACATAGTGAGGTCCCAACTTGATGCTAATGTAAGGAAGACTATTTGGTCTGTTTAAAATCAGAACATAGCAGATATCTCCAGGCTGTTTTTTGTGCCTTGTAGAATATCACTTTAAGCTACACTCTTCCCCTGTGGTTGAGCCATTAAGGAACCCTGAGGATACTGTTGATGAACAAATATGCTTCATGTTTTAAGGTGGTTTCAGTGTCATTTGGCTCTGGAAAGCAGATTTATTCCAGAACTGAACGTGAAATTGAATTAACCAGGTTTCACTCGGTGACATTTGAAATTATATCTGGTGTAAGAGATTACGAATAGCTTTGTTTTCTTGTGACATTTTATATTCATGCAACTTCTCTGTATTGTACAGATGAGGGCTACTGCCCCACCTCTGCCCAGGGTTGTAAACATGTTTTTTGGTATTGCATTGGTGACCACAGGGTGTTACTAATTATAAAAGTCAGTCATATGCCTTTCCCTTCACCTCAAGAACATCATCTGACATTGAAGTGCTGCATCAGTTCCCTGAAATGGAGAGCCTGGGAGGGGGTCCCTGTTCTCCGTGGCCACATGGCACTCCTGGATAGATGTGTTCCCTCTGCTTATTGGAGGTCAGGCAGCATGAGCACCCTGGATCCTACTCAGCAGTCAGGAAGCAGTTCCTGTAAAGAATATGTTTCTAGTTCTCAAATTTAGCCAGCATTCCTTTGGTTTACTTTTTTTAGTTTTGAAAATTGTGTGAAAAATACTGTCTGAAATATTTAAGTTTTCTATAACTGAGATGGTAACCTACACAAATAAAAATTTGGTGTAAAAATCATCTGAATTGGAAAGGGACAGTGATACATGATGGTTTGCTTGTTAATATTAAAATAAATAAAAATTGTTAATTTTTATGTGTAAATTTAAAAAAATAATTCCTCTTCCATACTATTGACCATATAATAAAGAAGTGCTGTTTATATATTAACTAAATTTGCTGCAAATGCTAAAAGAATTTAATACAATAATTTGTAAGTTCAGAGTAAGGCTGTTTGAAATCAAGATTGTTTCCAGTGTTCTATATAAGAATTTTCACCCAGGTAACATTCTTTTAAATCCAGTTATTAATATAATCATTAAATATAATTTTAAATGATTTTTATACTAAACTTATGGTAGTAATAAATTATAGTAATTAGAAATTAAAAAACTTTTAAGTTATATTATGAATAGTAAATGCTACATAACTATTTAGGGTAAAACATAGCATAGGTTGACTTACAGTTGTGTATTGAAGTGTGGAATTACTGGGTGCTTACAGATACTGGCACGCTTCTGCTTTTCCCTTTTGAGAGTTGCTAATATCAGTTTTGTTTTTTGTTTTTCTAATAATGATATATTAAAATGTATAAGTGGGATTATTTTTTTTTGACAAATTACATCTTTTTTTTAATTTGTTTTATTTACAGGTGTTGATTTTAAAATAAAAACTGTAGAGCTAAGAGGAAAGAAAATTAGACTACAGATCTGGTAAGTGGAGAATCTGTACCCAGTAATTGCCATTCATGTTTAACAGTCCATACGCTTGTCTAATACAATTAACCATTTGAGCTGGTTTGTTCTCCTACTTTTCCTCTCCTTTGCTCATGTTTAAATAAAATGAACAGTGAGAGAGAATTTAGAAGAGTCTGTTTATTTCATATCCTATTTGCACATGGGCAGTTATGCCGTTGTCTCTGTTTTCAAATCATTTGACAAAACTGTCATCACTAAAATGATTGCTGAAATGCTTGTCTTCATGTTTTTAAAGTTATTTTGTTTGATAGTATTCAAAGACAGTTCAGTATGTTTCTGACCAGATTTGCGCAGTTTCAAGCCAGATAACCTCTAGAGTTCAGGGACTCTTCTTGGTGGCACAGTGTGAATATCACTGCGGGACACACACACTCCTCTGGCCATATTGCTGATGCTACATGAAGTAAGCCCTCATTAATGTCAACTGGAAATGAATCCACAGCCCCTTTCTCACAATATAGTCGTATGAGAGACCAAACCAGCTGTGCTACCACTGTGTTCAGCTCTAAGAGCTCTCTGCTGGCTCTCAGCAGCCCACAGGGAGCATTAGGAAACCGATCTGTGGAGAGAGGATCAGGTCTGGTGTTGGTTTAAAAGTCACCGCTGAGCTGTTCTGAGAATGCCCTTTTGTTTTAACGACACAGCTGCAGTGTACTCAGCTTACTAACTCCTCTCGGCAGGTCAACCTCAGCTCTGAGTGTTTGTCCACCATGTGTGTGTTTGCTTTCATCTGCGTTAATTGCTGCCTCATCTGTGGCATCATCGGTCACCTAATGCTTGAATGTTAGTGCCATGCCTTCATTCTTCATCCGTGTCCCTGTCTGGGATACAGCTGCAGCCGAACCAGCATTGCTTGCTCATCGGAGGTGTCTGAGGTAATATCTTTATTTGGCCATCTGTGGCTATATAATCCACTTTAAGATGTTTTAACTTAATTATGAAACATTAACAGTCTTGCCTAAATACTTGATACCCCAAATAATGCATATTTCTTACTAGATTGGCCCATGATCAGAAAGGCAGCAAACTGTTTTGTGTCTTGTTGCCTATTTTTTTGAACTCTGGAAATGGCAACAAAGTATCTTTCACATGAGCTGCTATTTTTAATTTTATAAGCTCTTTAAGGTAAAGACCATCTTTGAAAGTATTTGGAGTATATCCACCTATGGGAACCATGCCAGAGACGCCTGATAGTCAAGGCCAGTGAAAGCACAGAGGTCTTGTTGTCAGTACACGGATTGTCCAAGGCCACTCTGTGCCTAGGCTAAGATACCATAAGCAGGTGCAAGGACACACACACAATAATCCCATGGTATACTGCACATGTATGCCCTTCTGTAGCCAAAATATGATTGGTGTAACTATTGGCATGAAGTAATATATATTACTTCTTTGTCTCTGGAGTAATATACATGTTATATTATGTGAGCTAGAGAGAGGAAAGGGAGAGACGGAGCTGAGAGCTGGTACTGCTACAATGTAAGGCTAAGAGCTTATAGAGACCTCAGATATAGCTCCCATGTTAACCAGCCAGTGTGCTGGGCAGAGGAGTGTGCTGGAGAGAGGGGAGAGACCAGGGAGGCTGGGAGAAGCTGCTGAGGCAGGGAGCTCGGGTACGATTGCTATGTAAAGCTATAGGTCTAGAGGCAGCTTGCGAGCTGGAAGAAGCTGCTGAGGCAGAGAGCTCGGGTACTATTGCTATGTAAAGCTATAGGTCTAGAGGCAGCTTGCGGTTGCTCGGAAGCTGCTGCAGACACGGAGGCTAATACTGCTGATGTGTGGGAAGATGTATCTAGGTGTATGTACGGCCGCCTGTTTTATGGACTGCTTAAAGAACTGTTTCGTCTGAAGGCTATGTGGCCACTGACTTCTGCAATAACAACTCCTCCTTATATACCCACAATTTCTCATGGCTTCTCCATCTAAGACCCGGCGTCCAAGAAGGTCTAGTCGCTAGGCGGAGGGGCTCAGACCCAACACCTGTAACTAGTGAGCAGAGGATAAAGGTAGAACTTGGACTAAGTTCCCAACAGTTAGTGTAGCGAGTAGGGTTTGAGAGGGAAGCTAACTCTGGCATAGTCGAGTAGTAATCTGTTTTGGAGTGTGTCCAAATGGCCTGTGCCCCCTGGAGCTCTGCTCACTGAGTCTGTGCTGGTGACATTGGATACTTCTGGATCTCACTCCAGTGGCTTTGTACCTAATGTAGGTGGGCCCTGCCTTATGAATCCCAGTCCATGGGGAAAGGTGTGATAGTACAGTTCCAAGAAATGCACAGGGCACCCCAAAAGCACTTCTCTCTTGGGTGTAAAAGCATTTCCCCGAATAACTCCTTCTCTGCTTCTCCTTCGCTCTTCACTCCTCAGACTTAGTTCTCAAAATTTTCAAAACTGTACCACATTGGTGAAGAATGTAACAGAGGAAAAGCAAGATTCACTGAATCTATTGAAAGGATGATTGCAAGTTTTCTATGGGGAATACCCCAGTGATTCAGTTAGGAAGTAGGACTTATCTTTTCCTGAAGGAAAAGACATTATTGTTATCCAGTAGGTAGAAAGGAAACAATGGAGTCCTGGTTCATTACTTAAAGGAACATGTGGCTTATTTTGGTGTCGGCAGCAGTCCTTGTGCTGTTGCTGCTGTAATCTGCTTTGTCAAGGACATGTTGTCGTCACTTTACTGTCACAGGTTGCGGGCATAGGAGGATCTGGTATGGTTGGAAGGAGCTCTTCAGAGAGGCTGCTAATAATAGCCCTGCTCCAATTTTGTACACTGTCAGTCCCTGCAAGCACTGCCAGTCGGCCTTCACAGAGAGGTGTTGTCAGAAGAAGTGCATTTTTTTCTTGATGATGTCTGGATATAGTCCATCTAAGAAAATGTTATTTACTGTAGATTCTTGAAGGTTTAAAGTACCCAAAGCTACAGATGTCATTGTTACATTTTTAGGTCACATTTTCAGTTCCTTGATTTATCTAGGGTTAGAAAATCAACAAACTGATTTTCACATCTCTGTACTTAGAGTGTTTCTACATATATGTATACTAGTGACCCGGTGCACAGATTCGTGCACATTGAAAGGAAGTTAATTAGAAGGTGGCCAGCGGGGCGGGACTAGGTGAAATGGGCCAGACATGCCCTGGAGCCAACCTCCCACAGTCCCTCCTTGGCATCTGCGGAGTGAGCAGAGTCCCTCCGGCTCTTAGACATCCCCCGAGGGGTCCCAGAGTGTGAGAGGGCACTCTGTAAAGTTGCTGTCGTACAGGGTGTGGAACGCAAACACAAGTGTGCAGTAAACCAGTAACAACATAACCCATGGCCGAAGGTGGAATCGCATGGCCCTGCGAGGAATTGGCTCCCTCCTCTCTGGTTTCAGGGTGCATAACCTGAGAACCACCGCTGAAGTCACTGCACCTTGGCAGTTCCTGTATTGAGTGTCTGCTCCCTGGTGGTCAGTGCACATCATAGCAACCAGTCGGATGGTTGGACACTTAGCATATTAGCCATACACACACACACACACACACACACACTAGAGACCTGGTGCACAAATTCATGCACAGGTGGAGTCCGGCTGGCCTGTCTTGATGGGGGCCCATCAGGCCAGGATGGTGGGGGGGAGCCATGGGAGGTTGGCCGGACGGCCCGCCCCCGATCAGGGTGGGGGGTCCGATTGGGGTTGGGGCTAGCTGGAGGGAGGGCAGCTCCCTCTGTGGTTGGTGTGATTCTCTTAATTTGACCTCTACTTTCTGAGACTGAACCTGGGTTTTCCCATCATTTCTTGACTTCATTTGTGTGCTTTTGATTTGGGCGTGGTAACCTCACTCAGGCGTTTAGGGCTCCTGTTTTTGAGCTGCTGTGTTGGTTACTGCCTCCTTCCCCCGTCCCTTCCTCCTTCCATCACCTTCCTCCTTCCCCACTTCCTCAGCCAGGTTTACTGAGTCAGTAGGTGACTCAACCTGAATGTTGACTCACTAATCAAATCAGTGGGAATTTATTAATTTGGCTCACAAAAAGGCTCACAACAAAGATGTTCGGGGCTGATCAGGGGCCAGGCCAGCCAGGACGGGGCATGTCCGATTGGAGCCTGAAGGATCAGGCTGGTTGGCTGCCACAGGGCATGTCATAGTCACTGGTCGTTCCGGCAGTTCTGATCACTCCACCGTAACGGTCGCTGGGCTTTTAGATAGATAGATGATAGATAGATAGATAGATAGATAGATAAGAGCTTAAAGTATAACTAAAATGAAAATGTTTCTGCTAGAGTATAGTTTCATGCATTTACATCCAAATGCTATCCTGGAAGTTAAACATGGTGATTTAGAGTCATTGTGTTGAAATGGACTTGACCATGATATTTGTCTCCTACTTTAGGCAAACACAGAATTAAAATGCTTTGTGTAGGGGCCCCCCATTCTGTCATTGTGCCAGTCTCCACTGTTGGGGAGTTTGGTGTTCACCAGCGTTCTTCTATTAACGCCAAACTCCTTTCCTTTCGTTCTGTGCTTGGAAGAGGAAGAGCATTTCACATACTGAAATTGGTTCCTGCTTTTCAAATTAGTAATTGTGTCATTTTACTGGATATATTAAATATTACAGATGAGAATTTTTGAATTTTTAAAACATCATTGTATTACCAATTTGGGGAAACAGAATTTAGGAATTTTTTAAATTTACACCAAAAGCAGAGAGAGAAATAATAGTAAGATCACATGCTAACTATAGTAAATGATGATTTGGCTGGCATTAATAATTTGCAAATCTCTACTAATCAGTTCTTTGTCATTACAGCAAAAATTCGGGTTCATGGTGATAAAGAGGGGGAAATACTAGGATTCTGCATCTTTATAGAAAGATAAAAGCATGATCAGATTGGTTACCTTATCTAATTTTTGAAAAGGGAGACTTGTGTAGGTTTTTTTGGTGCTGGTACATAGTAGGTACTTAAATACTTGAACTGAATTAAACTTTCTACATTTTAAACATGTAATGTTTTGGTCAGCACATGTTTATTGACAGCCGCTCAGGGTCAAGCACCCTACTGGACCCTGGTGGACAGAAACAGACCAGCCCTACCCCTCCTGGGCCTTCAGTCAAGGACAGCATGGGATTCTTGTGTCCTCTGGAACAAAGCAAATGGCTTTGTTTTTTATGTGAAATGAATTTGCCAGCGAGTTTTGTTTGCTTGGCATAACATCAGAAATGTGAACTAATCGGTGGTGAGTTCAATCTGAATGAAGCCATAAATTATAGCCATTGCCAAGGGGTGTTTTAGGGACACAGTCCCCACAAGTTGCACCTCGACCAGGAAAACGTTGCACACGCTCTCCCACTAAGACACGCACTGTCATGCTACAAGCTTTGAATAGCCTTGCAGTGGGGAACCTTACTGTTGTTACTCTATTGCCCAGCTTACTCCCCTGTGACCCACCGTGGCCCCTGGGCGTATGCCAGCAGTTAGGCTTTGGGGAAAGCTAAATTATAGATCATCTTTAGAGACATTGTTTCCCCGATCAGAAGCCCTGCTCTGCTGAGCCACATTTGTCTCAAGCAGTTTCTTGGCTTCTTAGATGGAAAAACTATCTCACAGCCAGCTTCTATACACTGCTAGCGTGCTTATGTCCTTCCTCACGTTGAAGTGCCAAACTTCAGGAGAATAAATAGTTCTTAGGTTTCAAAGTAGCAGTCAGAGAATAATGAACGTTACTGTAATTGTAAACCTATTTGGTAACTCCCCTCTCTTTCCCTTTGACCACTTACTCTGTTTAAAAGGATTCTGTAGCATTTTTCATTAGTGGATGATTCTTATCAACAAAATCAGATATTAGCCATTGAGATTGGTTAAAGAAGGGTTGTAGACTTAAATAGTTTAAATTATCCCTCGTTTTCTCCTTGTTGATGACTGCCTCCCATAGAGGGTGTTATCTTTCTACCATTTTACATGTTAGAAACTGAGCTCATTTCAGAAAGGCTGAGTTCTCTAAAGAAGCAAGACTGGAGCCTGGGTACCTGGCACCCACAGTGACTGCCAGGAACAGCTTTCCAGGAACAGCTTCTGTCCACCCTAGACAGGCTTTGAGGAAATTGGGGGAATAACAGCATTTATACCTGTTAATACACCAATTGATAGAGGTAAAATACCTAGAAAAGCTGACTTGACCATAATACTTTATGACTACAAAATAAAAGTTGAATATCGCCCACCACCTAACTCCTTGTTCATTTTTGCTATTTCTCTTATTCCCTCCACAACAATTTTCCTCACAGTGTAGTCCATTAAAAATTTAGAACCTTCTAGAGCAAAGTTTATGACTTTGTGGGGGAGAAAAGTGTGGTCAAGTGTACTTATGTAATTTGTAGTATTAAGTTACCTCATGATTTCATAATTTTATTCATGAATGTCAAAAAATTCATTCCGAAGCTAATGTTAGCTTAAATGAGTCACTTGAGTATGAGTTAAGCAATCAGAAATGACTTTTATATTTAACTAGGGGCCCAGTACACTAATTCGTGTACCTTGAAAGGAAATGTGGGCCACAAGGGTGTGGTGGGCACAGGGGCAGGTCTCCGCCCATCCTCTGCACCCCTGCCCAGCCCCTCCCGCCATGGCCCCTGGTCCCCTGTCTGCCAGTAGCCCTGCTCCCACCACTGCCACTCCCACGCACTGACAGCACCGGCCCCGCTCACACCCGCTGATGGCGCAGAGCAGTTGGGGCAGGCGCCGACAGCAGGTGTGAGTGGCGGCTGCTGCCCTGATTGCCTCTCAGGAGCAGGGATAGGTGGAGAAGCCCTCAGGGGCAATTGGGGCTGGCAGCCGCCACTTGCACCCACTGACGGTGCTGAGTTATTGGGACTGGCGCTGGGCGGTGACTCTGGCACCAGCTGTGGTGTGATTGGGGCTGGCGCCAGCAGTGGGTGTGAGCGGCAGCTCTGGTACCAGCAGCATATGCAAGTGAGGCTGTCGCTGGCAGTGGGTGCAAGAGGTGGCTGCCGGCCCTGATTGCCCCTCAGGAGCAGGGCGAGGTGGAGAAGCCCTGAGGGGCGATCGGGGCCGGCAGCTGCCGGGCACCACAGTGGGTGTGAGCGCCAGGTGGGACCACAGCACACAAGAGCAAAGAATTTTCAGTAACCATTAGAGGCTTGCCTTGATGACAGTGACCGGCACCCCGCCTTGGTCTAGTGCACCCGCTCACCTGCTCCACCATCCGCCTTGGCCAATGTCCACCATGTTCTGCACGCGCCCCCTGGTAGTCAGTGCACATCATAGCGACCGGTTGTTCGGTTGTTCCACAGTTCGGTCTGTTTGCATATTAGCCTTTTATTATATAGGATGCTATTTTTGCATGAGCTTTCACATTGGAAAGTTTTTTATAATTAAGATTTTGCTATGTATAGGATTTTAGTATCTTTAGTTAAATTATGTGGGATCTGCCTTCTCTCTCCCTCTTTTTATTATGACTTTTGCCATAAAAATGCTCTCTTTTTTTTCTATTTTCAAAAGCTTGGTTTGAAGGAAATTGGGACTCCTTTATGTTTTTGTTTGAATGAAACTAGCTCAGAAAAGCTATCCCCACTAATAGTGAGCGTGCACATGAGGAGTGGCCTGGTGACTAGAAGGAACCAGCCTGGTGGGGCCACCACTCTCCCTGTGTGCATTGGAATGTGGAGTTGCTTACTATGGTTATGGTTTGGGAACTGATTTTTTTGCTGCTATTTCTTAGGGACACAGCAGGTCAAGAGAGATTCAACAGCATTACCTCAGCTTATTACAGAAGTGCCAAGGGGATCATATTAGTATATGATATTACTAAGAAGGAGACATTTGATGATTTGCCAAAATGGATGAAGATGATTGATAAGGTAAGTGTTGCATTTTTTTTTCCAGATATGAACTCTTCGCTCATGGGTGTTGATCCTTATAAAAGAAAACATATTTATGAAGCATGCTTTTACATTATAAAGGTCTTTAATCCATATTGCAATAATCAAAGTTTTATTATTATAAGTAATAAAACCGGGATTTTTATTCTGGTATCCTGGGCTGTTTGAACTCAAAGCCCAAATCTATAGTTCTGCCATCCTGAAAAACCAAATTGGATTTATACTTTATTCAGTGTTACAACCTGCTTATTTCACTAAATATTCTGTCATAATGGCCTTCCTGTGTCATTAACTGTTCTTCCAAAGCATGTTTTTTTAAAATATATATATATATATTATTGATTTCAGAGAAGGAAGAGGGAAAGAGAGATAGAAACACCAATGATGAGGATCATTGATCGGCTGCCTCCTGCACGCCCCCTATCAGGGATCAAGCCAAAGCCCGGGCATGTGCCCTGACCAGGAATCAAACTTTGGCCTCCTAGTTCATAGGTCGACACTCAACCATTGAGCCACACTGGCTGGGCCATGTATTGTTGTTTTTAATGGCTGCATTCTTTTGTGTACCTTACCTTATTTCATTCTCGGTCTATTTTGTTGGATTTTTACATTTTTTTATTGATGATCATTTTTAAGTACAAAGCCTTGCCTTTATTTTGAATCATTTCCTTAGGATAGATTCTAAGGAATTACTGGTCAGAGGCTAAGAACATTGTGGTTCATATACCTAGAACCACGTTTCTTTCTAAAACGCTGTGAGCTGTCTTCCATGCCACAGTAACCAGGTCTGCCTGGGACAGAGAAGATGCTCAAAGATTTGTAGAGTGAATGAACAAATGAGTGAAAAATACTGGATTGTTTTACATTTCCTGTCAGCATATGACAATGCCCATTTTTGAAATGCAGCTTCTTTTAAAATTCCACAGTATGCTTCCGAAGATGCAGAACTTCTCTTAGTTGGAAATAAGTTGGACTGTGAAACTGACAGAGAAATCACCAGACAGCAGGGTGAAAAGGTGAGAGAAACCTGGGGGGCAGGAGAGAGAAGTCAGTTCCCACACTTTGTATGTTAGCAGTTGATATGCTTTACCTTTTAACAAATTACTTATTTTTTTAAATTATGAAATAGTTATACAGTATCACTCAATCACATCCTTCTCATATGTTTGCTTTTTTTTTTTTTTAGCAATCTTGCTGCCTTAAATTCATTTTGAAATTGAAGAAAAAAACCCACATTAGTATATGCTGCATTATTATCTAACCTGACACTATATACAGAGAAATATTTTTTTAAAGCATAAAATTGCTTTCATGATTGTCTCTCACTCTAATACTAGTATATGTTAATCTTCCTTGGAGAATCAGTGGTATTCACATTTTAAATGTCAGATACATTACAATTTTAGAAATTTGGTCACATAATTTGACTTGAAGGTCATAGTATCACTGGGTTTTGCTTTGTTATTTACTTATGTAAGAATTTTCTGCACTTAGGAACTTTACAGTTAAGCATACACCGGCCTTAACAAACCTTTAGTCCACCCCTTCCCATATAGCGGAAGCCCAGAAGGTATGATTCCCCATCGTTGGCCTCATATTCATACATTAAACAACATCGCACCCCACAGAGAGGAAAAATAACTTGTTTCCTTAGTTCGCACAGCAGATAACCGGGATGCGGTTCTGTGAAGCAAGTGCCAAGGATAACTTCAATGTGGATGAAATATTTCTGAAACTTGTTGATGACATTCTGAAAAAGGTAAAAAAATCTGCATGAATGTTTTTCATCTGAAACATACTGTTTATTATTTTTTGGTTGAGGATTTATTATTTTGAAAGGGAAGTACAGTAGTTTTTCTCAGTCTTAAGGAGCAGGTGAAGTTGTTAACTTGGCCAAAGGCATCCAGCCTGCTATAGCAGCAGCCCTTCCATCTGGTGGTTTTCAGTATCCTTGGTATTAATGTCTGGTGTATTTGCTTAGCCTCAAATACAATTTGGTGGAGTGACTGGCGCTGGCACGACAGTGTGCCTGTTTGTCTGACATTTGCTTTTCTTCTGTTCCTGTTTTCCCACAAGGACTAAGTTACATACAGATGGAGGAGACAGCGAATGTGCAGGGATCTGAGCTGAGAGGCCCTGGTCTTTGCCTCCCCTATTCTATCACCAAAGCCTTTCAGTGATGCTGAGCGCCAGGAGAATTGCTAGGCAGCTTCACTGAGTAGCAGCAATTTCTTCAGGCATCTTTAGGCTTACATTCAAAGATTTTTTAGTAAGAATTTCGTTATTATTACGTGTTATCTGCTCAGTTCAAACATAATTCAGAAGCATCTAATAAAATGGCTGCTTTATTAGAAAGGTTATTTCTTTCTTCAGTAATGCTGTACCCCCTGAGAATGCAGAACCGCTTTTTTATGTATTAATGCACTGAGTTCCCATTATACTGGGCCATGAAAAAGACATGTTTATGAGGTCCATCTTGTCTCTTCTTCCTCAGGTATAAAGGGACATGATGCATCCTGAACCTGTTTTGTTTTTTGTCTTAGTATTTGAATGTCTAGTTAAACTTTGAGGATTAGAGAGTTTTATATAAAAACACTTTGCTCTTATATAATTGTACGATTTGCAGAGCACTTACCTTATACGTTGTGTAGTTAAAGTGTGTTTTTGTCTTCTGTTTATCCTGAAGATGCCTCTGGATATTTTAAGGAATGAGCTGTCCAATAGTATCCTCTCCTTACAACCAGAACCTGAAATTCCACCAGAATTGCCTCCACCAAGACCACACATCAGATGCTGTTGATTTGCTACTTTGGAGACAAAGTGGGAATGATTCCTAGAAAGGGGAAAACGTTCTATTCTGCACTACAATCATTCTGAAAATTTCCTTTCGCACTTTGTAATTCAAGTCAGAGCTATACACTAACTTGTAAATATGCAAATATGCAATCCTGGGTAAGTTTTGGTTATAAATTACATATATCCCTCCAAATTATTATATTTCATTCATTATCCCAGTGTCTAGTGCGTATACACTGGGAAATGTAGTACTTCTAATATGAAGAATGGGAGAAATGAAAGTTATAGTGTTTCTTGATATAAATAATATAATTGTCCTTGTTAATTATATTATGGGGACAGAAGATATTCTGATAAGAAGAAAGAACATGGTGCTTTGCTTACTGATTTAAAGAAAATTTGTAAAACCAGAGATTTTTTGAAAAAAAAAAAAGCTATCTTACGTGCTTTTTCTTTATTTACAGGACATGTCCCTAGCTGTAGCATTTTTGAAGTATTGGGAGTGTTTCTAGCACAAAGCAAAGTTCCTTTCATAGCCGTCATTGAAGGTTATTTATTAATGTGATATAATGGTAGAATATTACTAGTTAGAGGGTAGGATTTGACTCTGAGGCCGCAGAGTCGCTCTCATAGTTTCTGAATTGATATCCCTTATGCTTTTAAGAACTACGAAGATTCAATAGAAAGAAAACGCTGCTGTCCTAAACAAATCCTGTTTAAAGGAATTTTAAAGAGATACATTTTACTATATCAAAGAACGTACTTGTATTTGCCTAAACATTCTATACCTTTATAATGATGAAACTTCTCCCCCTTATGAAGCTTATTCCTGTTAATCCTAGACTGTGTTCTTTTTTTTTTTTTTTTCAGTCTGATAATGAATTTGTGAACTCTATCTTTGGTATATCTTTTATTAAACTGCACTGTTTTGTTTAGTCAAGATAAGTAATTATGTATTTGAATAACTTGGCGTGTCTTGAGTGTTGTGATATGAAAAGCATTGTGGTCTTTCTACACTAATAAAATTTTGTATTTATGAATGACAGTTGAGTTGCCACATTTATTGTGTAATTATTACTGTGTGTGTGTGTGTGTGTAATTGAAATTTTAATATCTGATAATATTCTTCATATACTCGACTTCTTAATCATTTGAGTATTTTAGATAAGACAAATACAGTGTCCTTCACTGTGAAAAAAATTATTTGGTAGTTTCTCAAAATACTTAACAGGATAGAGTATGACCCAGCAATTCTGCTTCTGGGTATATTCCCCCCCAGAATTGAAAGCAGTAACACAAACATACTTATACACCTGTGTTCATAACAGCATTATTCATAATAGCTAAAAGGTGGTGAGGGATTAGTGATTAATTGGGATAGATTTCGTTTGGGAAGATAGGGGAGGGTGGGGATAAGGGGGAGAGATCAACCAAAGGACTTCTATGCAAGCATATAGGCCTAACCAATGGACACGGACAACGGGGGTGAGGGCATGAGTGGTGGGATAGGGGGTAATGTGGGGATAAGGACACATGTAATAACTTAATAAAAAAATTTTTAAAAAGATTAAAACTTCTGGAGCTGGATGATGGTGATGGTTGCACCATAATGTGAATGTACTTAATGACACTGAATTGTACATTTTTAAATGGTCAAACATATATAATGTCCTCAAGAAAAAAATTTTTTTAGTGTATATGCCACCAAAGTGAGCACAGAATTTCTAATGTATGTACCTTTCATCATCTAACAGTTAGCCATGGGTTGTGCTGATTGTTTACCTGTTATCTCACCTCCATGCCTACCCTCTAGGCCAGCGGTTCTCAACCTGTGGGTCGCAACCCTTTCACAGGGGTCGCCTAAGACCATCGGAAAACACATATATAATTACATATTGTTTTTGTGATTAATCACTATGCTTTAATTATGTTCAATTTGTAACAATGAAATTGGGGGTCACCACAACATGAGGAACTGTATTAAAGGGTCTCGGCATTAGGAAGGTTGAGAACCACTGCTAGGCTCTGCTGTCTGCTTTCAGAGCTGGGACTCAGATTTTCCAGGCCCTCCTGCTCTTCTGTAAGACCTGATCGGAGAAACCAAGGACTGGGGAGGAGAAAAAGAAGGGATTTGCTTGCCATTTTTCCTTCCCATCAGCCCCTGTGGTAACACCCTACAGCTGGCTCTAGCTTCCTACAGACCCCCTAGCTTCAGCGTCACTGCACCCCACTGGACATACCAGAGCAATGGGGCTAGTCAGCGTGTTATCTGCCACATACCCAGGCCATCCCAGCACCTGTTAGCTCATTTCAGTCCATGTCCCTTCCAGGTCCTGCTCCTGCTCGAGATCTGAGCACCTGCCATGCCACACCCCTCCTCAGAGCTTAGGCCAGCCTGCAGGATCCTCCTTAGCTCCTACGTTTTGGCAACACTCCTCCCTGTTTGTCCCCCAGTCCCGGGAGTATCAGTTGCTTCCTTTAGTTGTTGATCACTGAGTTACCTCAGTATTCTCTTTGTCGGTTTAGCATTTTAACAACTCTGTGGCTAGTTCTCTGTATCAAATCCCTCTGTTTAATGATGCCTTTTCCTGACTGCTAGAGTACTTGCTATCAAGAGTGGTCTCAGGAAACATCCTCAAAGATGAGTTTAAAAAGAAAAAAAAAATGTTTGCCATGGGCATTTGTGACTAGTTCAGTAATCTGTGGTCTGGTTCATATTTAGACTCAATCTTAGCTCCTGCATTTGTGCCTGTCAGCTGTGGTGTTAACAAAAGTACCATCTTGTTCAGTAGAGTGATCTTGGGATTAAAGGTAGGACTTTGCAACAAGTATTAGTGTGGTTTATATGGTTCTTGAGTTTGACTACATTTTTGTTCTCTGGCTTTCCAGTATAGTTGTATGTTTTTTCTCTAGTTAGGATTTTGTGACAGTAGGACTAGGACTTTTAGTTTCTATACTATTGTCCTCTATAATTTTTTAGGGACTGGTTATTCAATATCCATTTTGTGTATGCTTCTCATGACTGGTGGCCTGTCTTGCCTATATCATGACCCTAAATAGCCCATTGTGTGATAAGCTGAAACTCAATTTCTTCTCTCTTGAGTTTTAAAGGGAACTCTATTAAACAGTTGTAAATATACATTATGTTTTTATAGCTCATTGTCTTAGTGTTTCATCTGATTCTCAAAAAACCAAGATGAGTAGATATAGGTGTAAAATGAATGTTGATTATCCCTGTAGGAGAGGAACAAAATCCAAGAAAGTACAAATAAAAATCCCTGAAGACTCCAAGTTCTGTAGATTTTGTTATAGCTAAAAATCATATTTTCGATCTGCAAACTTGATAATAAACTTAGTTGAAATTCACCTTCATGGAGAATTAATAGTGGATTCAATGACTTTGAATATAGTGGGGATATAACAGGATTATTCTGTATGTACAAATCTCCCTTTTCTTTTTCACCTTCTGGATCTTAAAAGTACTATTTCAAGTTGGTAGGCAGTTTAATGGTTTTGAAGTTCTGCATTTTGAAATTGAGTGAATATTAGTTGATGACAACAAAGCAAAGAGATTAGTCTTGTTTGTTTCTAGCTATAAAGCAAACTACCTAAAATTAGTTGGTTGTTTTTTTTTTTTTGTTTCTTCATGAGTGACTTACATTACCAGGAAGAGAGAAAATGCTTGTCAGATAGATTATTTATTGCCTGGAAGTTACAACTAGGCCCACAGACTGCAAATATATTCGGACAGGACATGACATTCAGCCTGTTCTTTAGATTCCAATACTGTAGTCAGCAGGAACCATGAAATGTATTGCATGGTTGCTCTATTCAAGGCTCTGTGCTTAGGTGCTATAGGGGATACAACCAAGATAAATACTTCTGTCACTGCCCTTAAGAAGTTCATCAAGCCCTAGCCGGTTTGGCTCAGTGGATAGAGCATTGGCCTGTGGACTGAAGGGTCCTAGGTATGATTTTCCGGTCAAGGGCACATGCCCGGGTTGCAGGCTCAATCCCCAATGTGGGGTATGCAGGAGGCAGCTGATCAATTATTCTCTCTCATCATTGATGTTTCTATCTTTCCCTCTCCCTTCCTCTCTGAAATGAATAAAAATATATATCTATTTTTAAAGAAGTTCATCAGGTGCCAGAAACAGGCCCAAGAGAACGAGACAGCTTCTGTCATGAAAGAACGGATGATGCTCACTCCTGGGGAGCAGATGAGGTAGAGCCAAGGCCAGTTGGGGAAGCTGGAAAGTGGAGGCATCTTCTTCCTTGGCCTCCAGGAATGAGTAGGCTGTTCACTAGTGGCAAGGCAGACCTGAGGAACAGTGTATCCAAAAGCCAAAAGGGACCGTCTCATAGGAGGGGACTGTACATAGTGAAGCATGCATTGCCAGCTGCCCCAATCGGTTATGGCTTCCTAAACCCTTGGCTGCCTCTTGTAAATGTCTGATAGTGACAGGCAATTACTGGAAATGTTGAATTGCCTGCACACACACAAACCTAAAACATGTCTCATTTCAATGCATTATCACTGAAAAGGGGTCTAGAAACCTGCCTTTGTATTTTTAGCAGGGTGAACAGATGAGTGGTCTACTTATGAACCAGTTAGCTCTGTTCCATGGGCTTAACAATAAAAACCCTAATTTTACCAGATCTCTTTCTTTAAAAAAAAAATTGTAGACCTTTCTGATGCTACTCCAGATACAGTTCAACAAATGCTGTGATTAAACTAGGGTGCATTCCATTATATTAAAGAACGTAGGTTTTTTTAAAGACAAAGAATGCTACCCCTCAGCTGACTCTAGTTCTGAGTCTCTGAGGAAGATTATGGTCTCTGTGCCTCAGACCTGTCTGTCCTTAGAGGTCATCAGCTTTACCCTTTAGGGTCAGCTAGTTAAGCCCATGGTTACCTCAGGGGCTCCGCAGCCCAATAATGATCTCCAACCAACTTGTTAAAATTTAACTCAGAAAACAGCTTTTCATTCCATAATTCAAAGCAACGGGTTTCAGTATAAGTAACTTGTTAGTTTGGGTTCCCATCAATTTATAATCATTCACAAATGACTGGGTGTTAGGTCTTGCCTTGGATTGAGCAGGAGAGAGCTGGGAGGAGGAGGGCATTGGGTACCTGAAGGGGAATCATGAAAATAAGGTAGGAAAATGGTTTAGAAAGAAAATGAAGCCAAAGCTAACTGGGCCAACCTACATTTGGATCTGTCTGCCTTCCGCCAGGCTGGGACAGAACTATGAGACATTCACACAACAGGCCGTCTCCTCAAGGTCCGACTGCTGCTCCTCACTCTCAGATGCCGCCTCTGCCACACACACAGCATCAGGCACTGAGGTGGGTGTCTGCCCTAAGTGTGCCCTGGATGGAAGTCCCTGCTTGTCACCCCAGACATGATCCATCCAATTTCTCCCTTCCTCTCCTATATATTCAAGCTGGCCCCTCAGCTTAGACTAGCCTGTTCCCTGGACCTAAGTCAGCTCGATCTCCACATGTTGGGAAAGCTCTCCTCTGACCCCGCTGGAGCCCACCCTCTCCTCTGCAGCTCCTCTTTTTGAAGGATCCTTTCACACTTGCTATCTCTGCTCGCACCCCTCAGGCTGATTTCCCAGTTCACTGCCGCCTGGCTCCCAACCACAGCTCCGCAAGGACTCTGCTCTTCAAAGTCACCAACAGCCCATTGTGCTAAAGCCCAGTGGATGGGTGAGCATCAGCATGCTTGATGTCTCCATAGCGCTGAGCACCCAGAGACCCTTTGGGGCCCAGGGACCCCTGAAATAACCCTCAGAGTCTAGCTGGCCCTTAAAAATGAGACTGTCTCATGGGCAACAGTACGGATTGTCTCAATAGTGGTCAGGAATGTGGTCCTTAAAGCCAAGTTGTACCACTTCAAATCCTGGCCTGACCATTTCCCAGCTCTGTGCTCACTTGGTAGGTGTCTTTATTTGAGAAGTGGGGATAATACTGGATGGTAACTTCTTCATAGGGTTGCTGTGAGGATTACATGAGTATCTGTATACTTCCTGTAAC